CACTATGCTCGTCACCGGCCTCTTCAAAAAATAAAGAAACGTCTCTATCTTCATTCGCTAATTAGGGTAGATCCGTGAGAATATTTGTTATCGATGCACAAGTTCAGCCAAAGGCATTCTGCACCAGACCCCGTTGTGCGATGCTCACAACTTTGAACTTTTCTACAGATTCCACGCAAAATGGCTTTCAACCTACAAAGTAGAATGAAGGTTTGTTTCTTCTCACTCGTACACGATACTCCTGATTTTGAAACTCGTCTGTCATAGCTTCGCGACGGTTCCAAAATCCCTATTTTAGGATTCGGTATTTTTTCTCGATCGATACGAGACCTAAAGAATTCTGAATAGTTGATGCGACACAGGAACATATGAGCTTGAGGGCTCGTCTGTTATAGAACCCTTGACGTGGGCTTTAGATGTGAGTCATTTGGGCACGCATAGTGGCCTAAGACCGTACTGACCATTTACTTCAGGCCGGCTACCGCCACATTGTGAGATGCCGTCTCACTTACGGAACTATCGTATGACTTACGCTACACCTCAGGATGGTGCTACTTGGTACTACAACGAAAAAGAATGCGGCCAAGCAATACACACATGGCTTTCCAAGACGGGTACTCCTCGTTCAGAGATTTTTTGGACGACTAAGCTGAAGGACAATATCTCGTACGATGCCACTATGAAAGCTATCGACGCGTCGCTCAGCGCAATCGGATTCGAATATATTGACTTGTATCTGCTGCACTCCGCAATCGGTGGACCTGAGATCAGGAAAGAGTGCTGGCGTGCCGCATGCGATGCGAAGAAGCAAGGGAAGGTGAAGAGCATCGGTGTTAGTAACTTTGGGGTCAAGCACATACAGGAAATGCTCGAACAGGGTGTCGAGCTACCGGTTCTCAACCAGGTAAAACTATTGAGCTTGTTATCATAATCGTCTGATTTTTTTCATGTTTCTCGTAGGTTGACTTGCATCCTTTCATGACAAGGACAGACATTGTTGAGATATGCCAGAAACACGACATCGCGCTCGAGGCATGGGGTCCGCTTGTCCGTGGCCTCCGTTTCAAACATCCGTCTATCGTTAGCCTAGCTGAGAAGTACCACAAATCTGCCGCTCAAGTTCTCTTGAGATATTCAATACAGAAGGTAGGCGACATACACTGAATTGCGGAATTTGAGGTATAACGTTATATGATAGGGTTTCATTCCAATCCCCAAGTCCGCTTCCAGAGAGCGCATCATCTCCAACACCCAGATCTATAACTTTGAACTTTCAGAAGACGAGATGAAACATCTCGATAGTTTAGATGAAGGTTTGTTTACTGTATTGTCCGATGCTATATCTGACTTTCATTGCTACCTTTTCGTAGCCCTCATCACTGATTGGGAAGTTACTACATGCCCTTAGCGTGGTGGCCTCCGATGTTGGTTTTCTTGATGCAAAACATATACGACTATACATAACAATACAAATACTTTGACGATATACTCCATGGAGATACAGTACGACCGCCGAGCGACTTACTCGTCAAGCTCCCATCCGAACGCTGTCTCGCATTCGCCCAGCCGCTCGCAGACTTTCTTCACCTTTTCGTCATCCACATTTGCAACTGAAAAGCGAATCCATCTACCCATCTCTCCTTCAGCTTTCCCGCCTTGTCTAGGGCCAAAGAAGCCTGCTGGTAAACAAATGACCCCAATTTCTTGTGCGAGGCGTTTGCACACATCGGACGCGTCTAAACCCTTGAACGGATGCCTAACAAATGCATAGTACGCGCCTTGACTGCCTATATGCCACCGTTTCGGGAGAGAGTCCTTGAATAGAATGTGACGCGCTTGCACAGCAAGAGCACATCCTCGCACGAATGGTCGCAAGGACGGGAGTAATGGAGCGAGCGCCCTCTGCGCAGGACGAGGGGCGCAGATTTGTGTGTTGTCGAGCGCGGTATTGAGTGCTGGGCTGATCGACGGTGATGAAACCACTAGGCCTAAACGATGTCCCGGTATACAATAAGATTTTGAGAATGAGAAGAGGTGAATGAGGGTCTGACGCCAATTCCATGACTGGGGTAGTTGTGGAACATGTCCACTCGAAAAGAGGTGGTGTGGTGGACCGCCAACGATGAAGTCTCGGTAGGTCTCGTCGATGATCAGCGGTAGCTTGTTCTCGTAGGCCAAAGCTGCGAATGAATGAATGAGTCCTGGTTCGTATATCGCCCCGGTCTAATTCAGGTTAGTAACTCGAATGAACAACCTCAAGTCCCCTGAGCGACTCACCGGGTTATTCGGTGTAACGAGCACAATGGCTCGAGTAGCCGGGGTAATCAACTTGGCACATTCACTCACTGAGGGCTGGAACCCATCTTCGGGAAATGTCCTCAGCCACACAGGTTTTATGCCGAGCATAGTAAGTGTCATCCTTTGGCCAAGTATTAGAGTACTGCCAGACGGATCATACAAAGCGCTGGGAGATACGTACTCATGGTTAAAATACCATGGCACAGGCAGGACAACTTCGTCGCCTCTACCAGCGACAGTCATCGCAACGGCTGAAAATGCGAGATTGCAGCCAGCAGTGATGGATACGTCGTTTCTTGTAACATCAGTGTCAGGACCGTAGGCTACTTTCATCTCTTGCACGACAGCATCGCGAAGCGACGGTTCTCCTGCGTTGGGTACATAGCCACAGCTGCCGGGGTCCGAGCTGGCAGCTGCAAGGGCATCCAGAAGAGACTGAGGCGGTGGAATTCCAGGAACGCCTTGCGACATATCTAACAAGGGTCTGCCAGGAGTCGCCTTGTACGCCTCCGACCATTCGTATGCCTGTGGAATACTAGGTTAGGCAAGTCAGTAAGTTAAGCTCTGACGATCAGGTGTTGCCAGACACTTACGGGGGTAGACTCGTGCTTTCGATTGACTTGGATAAGCGAAATGAAACTGTCGACATCTTCCTTGGCTGCCCGAGTCGTGCTTGTAGTACAGATGCGAGATGAGTTGGGCTACTAGACGGGCGCGATTTGCAAGATAAGACGAGCTGGAACTTGGACCTAAAAGCGGCCGGGCGTGGAAATTGCATGAGCCGGAATATGTATGTAGAACTTGAATGGCCGTGTACAATGAATATTTTAATCTGAGCCCGCTATGCATTGGCCACTTTTTCAGTCTTGCTATGCATGGGAGACTGCAAGGTGGATTCTTGAGAACCTAGAGACCTAAAACGGGACATCGGGAGTCGCGCGTGTCAATTGGCGCCAGCAGCCCTTGCTTGGTCTACAACTCCCACCACCACGCATGCCATCCGCGCACAGCTGGGCCGGATAAAGTGTCGAGTATGCTGCTAGCTCTTGATTTTACGACATCTTTCTTACCAGAGTTCTTACCCAGGTCCCCGTTTTCACTAATTGCCGCGTGTGCACTACTGCTGTCTAGGCTCAACGGAACTGCTACATGCCTATATGTACGAGTTGCACACATACAATTCCGTACCTCTATACGGTATACAATTCTGCAGACAATCTGCGTTTGGAACAATGCGTAAGTTGCTTCAGGCCACCCCTCGTCTTCAACGCACTAAAGGCTCGATAGACTTCGTGTCATGCGTTTGCAGACCCATACATCGAGCATGACATGCTTACGCTATGGCTTGATCTAATTCTATTGAAGCGTGATGTCTATCGTCACCTTCTCTACAACCGTGGCACCGGCGCGCGAATACTCAGCGAACAGGGTCCCAAGAATAGGGACGAGTCAGCGTTAGCACCGGAACCAAACATCAATGAAGCGGCAAACAAGACGCACGATACGGAGGGACCATCGATGCCTTCGCCTTCGCTGGAATTGGTACGTGTAGATCGTACCCATACGCGACAGTTCATTTATTAGTCTTGCAGGAGCGGTGGCAACACATTTTGAGGCTTGGAAGTATCCTAATACTTGTCGACGCATGTGTGTAACATCTCTTTGCCCTTCCCACGACTGACCAACATGCTAACTATATTAATTCTTGCATCAAGTCATTCGCTGGACACACTTCAGTAAGTTTGCTCCTGACCACCAGCTCACGGGTGACAGAGAGGCTCATGCATCTCAGGTTCTCGTACCACGTCTGATGGTCTGTATACGGATGTATTGAGGTGGAATCAAGATGCTGTAGAAGGATTCCTTCGGATCCTCGCGGCCTGTCTCATTGGTCAGTGTACACCTCTTGGCAACTCCACCATCCGGAAATGCTGAAGTTGGCATTTGCGCGTGCCACCTTCCCAGAGACTGTGGGTTTTCATGTAGGCGTCATACTCTCCAGCTTTGTGATCCTGCATGCACTAGACTGGGTGCGTTTGAATATCCTACGACAGCAGCCACCGCGGTCCGGAATCCGTTCAGAGTTTAGGTTCGTACCTCTGCCTAGATTATCCAAAGCTTCTCCGCGGAGAAGAGAAGGAACACCTTTGTTGACGTCTCATTGGCAACCTCTCATTAGGTATTCGCATATCCCATTGACGATCTTCTACTCTTCTCTCAACAAACTCTTTCTACTGTTCCTTTTGACGATATGGCGTCCCGCATCTACTTCTCCCGGCCTCGCTCGACACCCACTGCCGCCGCAATACAATGCCAGTAATATCTTTACCAATCCCATGATTTTGGGAGCACTTGAGGTATTGGACGATGATAAGCTTGATCGCGAATGGATAGTACGGAACGTTCTTGGGGGTATGGCTGCTGGCTTCGGGTTGCGAGGTGAGTGTTGTCATTTTGGGGAATGGGGAAAGCGCTGATCCCCCCCAGTTGTATTGGACTGCCACCCATTGTTTACTACATTGGTCGTTTTGACTGGATGGGCTGTCAAGACAGCTCTCGCGAATCTCGTTGTCAACTGGGTAGGGGCCGGTATGGCAGGTAATGTAACAGGGGAGATGTGGCTAGCATACAGTATACCTTGATATCTCTGTGCACATCCGCGATGTTAATACGGTCAAGTTTTAGTTGCCACGTGAAAAAAATGAACCCCACCCGGATCGAACGGATGACCTTAAGGAAGCGCTTATTACATATGAATACGCAATACTAAGCTGGAATCTTACGCTCTACCACTGAGCTAGGGGTCCCTTGAAGAGTTTAAAACTCTGTATTATATAATCATTTTCAAACTGTTTTGGGGATTAACGTTGAACTGGGACCGACAAGGATTGTTGCAATTCCCTAAACGTGTAGTCGCATACTATTCCACCAAACATATTGGTCGACTTTCACCATGGTCAAAGTTGTCGTCTCCTCTTCGCGGGGCACATCGCTTGCTCCGGGGCTTCCGTATACTGTCGATCTTCCGGACAAGACTGTGGATACTGCAACCGTGGCAGACATCAAAGCTGCTTTCGCGGCAAAGTACCCCAAGGTATGTCACTTGGCATACTCGAGATTCACCAAGCGAATGGTCCACTAGTTCTACGCGTCAAGGCAAAAGTTGAGCTCAAAGGGAGACAAAAAGGGCCTTTCCGACGACACTACGTTGGCTACCGCTGGTGTGTCAGATGGCGGTGAACTTGTGGTGAAGGACTTGGGGCCCCAGATCAGCTGGACGACAGTGTTTGTCATCGAATATGTACGTGTCATCCAAGGTTATCATTGGAATTACCTCGCTCATGTAAGGCGTTCTGGCTAGATCGGGCCTCTCATTGTACATCCTCTGGTGTACAACCTTCCGCGCGTCTTCTATGGAGGCCCCGTCCAACATAGTTTACTCCAAAAGTGCGCGCGAAAATACTATTCGGAATCGTGGTTGTACTGATCTACCGTCAGGTTTGTCTACGCTCAAGTTATCTTGCACTTCCTCAAGCGCGAACTTGAAACGCTCTTCGTTCACCGTTTCTCTCATGGTACCATGCCATTTGCGTACATTTTCCGCAAGTAAGTGTATCCATTACCACAGAAGAATTACCCCTCTAACTTTGTTCCTAGCTCCTTCCATTACCATGTCTTTGGTGGAGTGTTCCTCTCGTATGCCGTGTACAGTCCGACGTACGACGCATCTTCTCCGTATATTCAAGGTACCATTCGTGATGACCCCCGGTTCCTATGGGCATGCACTGCAGTATGGCTGGTATGTTACCCGGCACTTCATTCATCGCTCGTGACTAAATCTCTCGCAGTGGGCTGAGCTATCGAATGGTTTGGCGCATTTGACTCTCCGTAATTTGAGACCTGCAGGCACCAAGAAGCGAGCTATTCCATATGGGTATGGCTTCAACCTCGTCTCTTGCCCCAATTACACGTTTGAAATTATCGGTTGGACCGTCTTATCCATTATGACTGGAAGCTACGCCGGTGAGTTTGGGCAATTTATCGGGACTGGACACGAGCTTATAAATGATCAGCATGGTTCTTCTTGTTTGCTGGCACGTATTTCATGTGGATGTGGGCGGTAAAAAAGCACAGGAACTATAAGAAAGAGTTTGGTGACAAATACCCAAAGAGGAACATCCTCGTTCCGTTCATTTATTAGAAAGTTTGACTCAGGCGGCTTAATTTACAGCAATGTATCTCCAAGCATCTCCCCTTAGCTTTGCAAATAGGCTCGTCAAAGTCCAATAGACTCATTTCGCTTGTCATGTAAGAGACCGTAAGAGTTCGACGTGAGCGTGACAACTGAGCTGATCAAGGCGCCTGTATAATCGTGATGGTTGTGGCGAGTTATTTGGGCGTCTGTATGACAACGCTGATCTCGTACTCCATCGTGTCCGACCAACAGACAGCACGACTCGAAAGCTATGCCTCCAGCAGCTTCCTCTTCACGAGCCTTGAACGCCATATTGCCTTTGATTCAGTCTGGGCAGCCTTACGAAGCCCATCAGAAAGCTAGAACATTTGCTGCTCGTTACCAGAAATCAGGACAATATGATACCGCCATTGACGTCTTGTTTCAATCCGCCAGAGAGCTGTTCAAGGTTGGGCAACAAGGGAGTGGTACAGACCTTACAGCATTTCTGCTGGATGTCTATGAGAACAAGGGGGAAGACGTGAACGTGGAGAGTAGGGGTACGTTCTTCAATTCACTCAGTTGGGTAGCAGTGTTTCTCACAATCATTAGGGCGCATTACTCAGCTCGTAGCCCTAGCGGGGTCCTCTGGGTCATGGCGGAAAACCATTGTCGATAAATCTATTGCGTGCGTCCGTTCAATGTTTCATTGGCTAAATATCACTGAGACTAGTGTAGCTGGTCTGCAAAGTCTGGACCTTGTCCGTCTGGGGACCCAGACCTGCATCACTATATCGCGGATATATTATACAAAGGTTTGGATATTCAGCCTCATGTATGTTACTGCATCTTACGTTCTTTGTGTTAGAGGGTGCATTTGAAGCTGCTGAATTGCACTATCTTGCTGCCGGAAAACGGGATAGTGCAAGAACCCTTGCGCAGTTATATGTTGAGTGGTCATCCACAGGCGGAGTCCCGGGGGCATTTGCTCTTCGAGGAATCATTCCGTAAGTGAAGTTGCCAATCCATTCTACTAAGGAATGAGCAGTTGCTACCACCGGTCCTCGCCTGGTGCATACAACGCCCCATTTCTCTATTCATTCAGCCTCTTGCGAGTCCCCCCGTTGCACCCATCATGGTCTGACAGTAATTTTACCGACAGATACCTTCAGAACGGAAACATTCTAGCAGCGCGTGCCTTCATTACAACTCTTGTCTCTCAGTTTGCCACGTCCCGCCCGAATTTCATACCTTCCATTCAATCTGCACCAATCCCCCTTGGCAAGACTGACCTAGGCACACCAGACGAAATCATTTTCACCGCAGATTCTTTGGTAAATTTTGCACAACTGGCAGTTCGCACATGTCAGCGTTCGCAAGGAGACAAGAATAAAGCTATACGAGAGGCATGGATACGTTTGTGTGGGAGCTACCAGAGCAAGGGCGGTCTTCTAGCCGTGAAGGAAGTTCGCAAGGTGGGTCTCAATATGGAGCCAGTCTACTCTGTTCTATCTGCATGAACCGCTGCTGGCAATGCACAACACATGCGATCTCGGGCGAGGTACACGCAGCCCGGAATCCAAAGGTCGAACTCTTTTCACGAGATACGTTCGAGGCCTCCTTCTCTGCGATGATCCTCGCTGCCACTTCCGCTCATGATTTTGATTTTTGTTCCAATACTGATTTCTGCTTCTTTACTGATACACGCGTCCCTGTTATTCTATAGGCACTGCACGAGATATCGGAACTATATTTTGCTATCCCTCCCCCGCGATCACAGCAAGGCAACCCGATGGCCGATATGTTGTCTGCTATGCTTGGAGGCGGTCCGACTACAATAGCAGCGGCTCCTAAACGTGTACTGGCGCCAGCACCCGCGAGCGGTGCGCCCACTCTTGATTGATTTTTTTCTCCTTACGAGAGGCTTGGTGAACTCATCGAGTCGCTTAGCGGAAAATTCAGCCGCTGCTAACGATGTTTACCACCGGGCGTACGGTAGCACGTGCCTTCAACCTTGTAATATATAACGATGAGCGCGCGAACATCTAGTGCTAGAACGCGGCGTATGATACCACTACCGCCCCAAGAGTGCGTCTGTGTCCCAGATGCGCCAATAAAAATGATGTCGAGAATGCATCCACCAATGAACGGCAGGCGCCTTGTCTCTGCCAATTCTACTGTGCTACTCACTGAGTATCATCACAGCTCAAGCGAGTGAGATAAATGCTATCTTGAGATATTGCGCGGACCGTTCTAGACCCAAGTATCTGTACTAGGTGGCCTATCAGCTGCGGGATGCTATGCCCCACTCTTTCGTAAGATGGGTGACTGGGGGAGGCTGGTAGGAGCAGTGGCATCGCCGTTGATTATATCTTGAATGGAGGCTTCTAGTGCATCGACTCGCGTGGACATTTGGTTCACTGTACACAGTCGGAAATCGTTAACGGCAAACGCTGGTGGCAAATCATTGAGACGTTAGATAGCTCACTCCGTTCGAGTATTTGGTTAGACATGTCGTCGAACTTTGCGTCTAACTGTTCGAGCAGAGTCTCGACCTGTGAGGCGTGGTTAAGAATCGCTACTAGTGTTATTCGGAATCATGTACTGACGAAGGCGGTGAGTTCGTGTGGACTAGAGATATCGGATGTGTTGACAACAGGCTTCGTGGTAGTGGGAGCCGGTGTAGGGGCGCCATTGGTAGAAACAGGGCTAGATGCTGTCTTCGACGGCGACACGGCTGATGTCACTTTCAAAGGAAGAGCTGCAGAGGACGGTGGGGGCATAACTACTGAATCCGTCGTCTCGCAGTTCACCTGGTAAGAAGTTAGCAGCACCAGGTGCGCTATACGGGAAGAGACTTACAAATTATTTGTAGTGAGTTCCTTCCGGGCTCGAAGCCTCTTGGTCAAAGGCGTTATGGCACGGTGGAGGCGGTAAGAAACATCGTTCCAAATCGGGCTCTAAGGCTTTACAAGCAGTAGATCTTAGATCTCGGCTTCGGTCGGATTATCCCGGTGTTGCCGGCGGCATCAAATTGCCAGTTTCGGCACTACACCGTTCGGCGGGATCACCGTACACTTGCAACAAAACCTGCTGCAGAGTGGACGCCTTTGGTCGCCATCTGAAACTCTCGAGCTGGTGATGATACCGTGCTTTTCTTCGAGAATTCTGGGAGGAATTTGTGGAAGATCATCCGGTCCGTGTACATGTCCAAGCATCAGTACCATCATTTACCGTCGCCGGACGAGCACCTGCAATAATACTACCACCCGCAAGTTCTTGACATTAGTGTTTTGTGTATGAGGATAAATGAATAGTAACCTATTGCTTTCAACCTAGGTCTTCAACAAATTTTCAGCAATTGGGTCCGTGGTAGACTAGGCTCTAGATTCTGCCCGTTCTATCTACCTCGCCACCGCGACACAGACTGTTGTACAGCGTGTGGGGAGGACTGGAACCAGGGTGCAACAAGAGTGGATGCAGTGGTCAAAAATCTCAAGAGAACAACGTTTAAACCACAGAACTGAGTAACACACTCCGCAATGGAAGCTCCTAGGCCATAATATAATGACCCAACTTGAAGGGTGTGTGACGTTTGTTCCCGTACAGTCAATGCCGACCGCTGACTATGAC